TAGACATGGAAACATTTCCTGTCAGGCCATAGGCTAACTGCGCCACAGCTAGTTCACATATACAGTCTATTTCAGAAATCGTGTCTATCTTTAAAAAAAAAAAAATAGGTAACTCGGTAACTCTTAAATGTAAGTTGATGAAATGTGGGCCTGCAACTTGGCTTTAAGCATGTCGGTGCAATAAATGTTTTTAAATGTAAACAAGAGTCTGGTTTTGTGTGTGTGCCTTACGTGGGTTAAAGATAATGGCTACGACAGACTGCGAGTAGCGTCACCTATGTTTATTATACCAAAGTTGGTCCTTTCTGTAACTGAGTAGGTTCTGACAATTCTGTCAGCCGTACACACAGACAGACAGACTAGATGGCAAAACGAATGAGGCCATGCGTATCATGGTTGGATGCACAAAACATTCACAATGCAGAGCGATGAGTTACCTCATGCATCTTGCAACCATAGAATTGAGACCATTGATCTGCCCAGCACAAGTGTATTGCATATCTGCCTATCAGTGCTGGTACACACCAGCCCTTATACAGTGAGATTCGGAAGAAACGGATAGCAGGTTGAATTAAGGACAATTCTGTGTGTATCAGGCTGAGGATATTATTAAATAAAACAAACACAATAAAACTCGAAGACATTAACCTTGTGAGAAAGGGTTCAAATGCCGGCAGAGATTTGTATTTATTTTCAGTGTGCACAACACTTGATAGAGTTTGTAAACAACAAGGCCCCTGTTTGGTTGGGTCACAAGTTTAAGCTGAAAGAGAAGACCAAACCAAAGAGATAAATGGGGGCGGGTGGCATGTGCAGCAACAAACCTCCAGGAAATCGGAATGCTGAAGAAGAAGAAGAAGAAGAACAAGAAAAAGTTTCAGCCATATATTTTTAAAAGGCTGCTGACGAAGGTGCAGTTATCTGCACTAACGGATGCGTCGTTTGACACGAACAAAGTCTATGAGCTTTCACTGTTCTGGTTTAAGTTAAAACTGTAAAAGAGAAATGCCTCGGCTACAAGTCGTCTGACCATGGAGGTGATTACGGTTACACAAGAAGCAGTGTGGCTGGAGACACAGCATTTTACCTGTGTGTACTTTCTAAGTGATTTCATTAGCATGCTTAGGAAGACAGACACAAGATGGATCCGGAGAAAATGGTATGAGTTGCTAAGGAAATCTCGTCTGAAAGAAATTACTTTCATTTTGTGCCGGGACACTGTTGAGTAAAAGAGAATGAACGAGCAGCGCCACCGTAGGTACGGGAGAAGCAATGGACAGACACGACAGTTGCAATACTCTCAGTGAGGAGGGACGAGAAGATGATTTAGGAGACGACGTTGAATCGCAACACACACAATACTACAAGAACTACAAGAACAAGAGGGATGAAGGAAGCAAAAATAACAAGACGAACAAGAGAAATAAGAGTAGCAAAAAGAACAAAAACTCACACAAGTAAGTATCAGGCGATTTGACACATAGAAAACATTGCTGATATGTGTCTCTGTGTGTGTGTGTGTGTGTGTGTGTGTGTTTGTGTGTGTGTGTGTGTTTATATGTGTGTGTGTGCATGTTGGAGAAATGGTTGTGACGGGAGGCGTGGGGGTTGTATGGGCTTCTAGCGCGTGAGCTGCAAGTACTAGCGCATTTGTTATATACGTACATATCCATGCAAACATACCGCCCGACAGACACACAGACATATACAATACAATATATACATACACGCATAGCTGCAAGCCTAGATAAAGCAGGGCTCTCACAAAGTCGTGTGCCATTTCTGGTCAACTGTCATGTTATGTATTTACTAGCTGGCACTCAAGAGAAACTCCTACCTTGACAAAACTTTCTTTAGCCAACTCTCCCACAGCTCCAATCTGTTTCTGGCCGCTGTTGAAGAACCTGACCAGAGACGGGTCTTGCTGTTTGATGAACTTGTTATAGGCGTCACTGGTCAAGTCGTGCACTTGGTTCATGTTTTCTACCGCCTCCATGGAGAATATTACCAGTGATGGCTTGCCATTTTCATCAACTGACCACTTAAAATTTGACCCCTTCTGAGTCTGGCCACTGACGTGCGATGGCAGGCGACGCGGCCGCGGATCCTCCAGTGGTAGAGAATGTCTGGTCTCAAAATCAAACGCTGGTTGGCCTCTATCAAATTTTTCTAGACGACCCATCCTTCTGTAACCGTCAGGGGTGTCCGGCCAACTGGGCAACATGGATCTGCTGGGCATTGGTGGAGTATATGATGGTGGTGGAGTTTCCTGGCCACTGACGTACGATGAAGCTTCTCCCACCCACCCTGAAAACTCGCCATACGACGGCTCATAGTCGTATTTGTTGGAGCCAGCTCTTGAGTTGGCCTCCCAGCAGGGACTTTCTACCGGGGCTTTGACGGAAGACGGTCTTCGGTAGCTCCCTAGAGAGGGAGTATCCCACGAGTTGCTGCCATATGAGTTCGTCATTGGGCCCTCATAATACGACCCGGCTCGGCCATACTGAGGAGTTCCGATCCTCGGTGTTGACTGCATTGGGTATCCTGAAACAAAAACATCGTCATCTCCATCGCAGCCACACCCACATCCAGTAGATGGAACTGGTGATATAAATGGCCGGTTCTGTGGCACCGTGTCATAGGGCGATTGTTGGTAGTCCATGACTCCTCGCATCATGGTACCGATGCTCGGGCTGCTGGGTGGCATCCGTCCATTGATTCTGTAATCATCTCCACTGGAAGATCGTTGACCTTGAGAACTCATTGTCGTGGAGACGTCTATTTTTTTCACAAGAAAAATGATGTAATTGTGCGGCACTTAAAGAGTCGGATGTCGTGGAGAATATTAAGGCAACTGCTTTAAGTTGAGAGTCTGCTGGGTACAGTTACATTGAAGTGAACAACTGCCGGGCAACTGCGAGTTGGTCGAGGCCGCGTCCGACCTTCTGATGTCCTCTGTCGGATGTGAGGAGAGACGTTGTCAAGTTGGCGCATTCTCTCAGGTGCAGTGCTCTAGTGTGCGGATTTTCATGATTTCCATGTTTGGTCTACATTTGCACACACATTCCTGCTCTTAATGTCTTTCTTCTCTTTTAAAAATAAGTCATACTCACCATTTACTGTTAATATACTGATTGTCTTAAAAGAATCAGCGCAGAAAATTGGACTAGTTATCAATCAAGATGAAACAGAATGCAAGAAAATAACTAGACAGAAAAAGAATATAAACTCAGGCCACACACAAATCGAAAATATTAAAATCAAACGAACGGAAACATCTAAGTACTTGGGTAAAAACTTCAACTGCTCCAACATACTTAGAGAAGAAAAACAATCTAGAATGCAATCTGGAAATAAAGTATAAGCTCTCCTTTGAATCAACCCCCAAAATGGCGGCATGTCACATTCTGGCCATATTGTATTTATTTTCAGTGTGCACAACACTTGATAGAGTTTGTAAACAACAAGGCCCCTGTTTGGTTGGGGCAGAAGTTTAAGCTGAAAGAGAAGACCAAGCAGAGAGATAAATGGGATCGGGTGGCATGTGCAGCAACAAACCTCAAGGAAATCGGAATGCTGAAGAAGAAGAAGAACAAGTAGAAGTTTCAGCCATACATTTTTAAAAGGCTGCTGACGAAGGTGCAGTTATCTGCACTAACGGATGCGTCGTTTGACACGAACAAAGTCAATGAGCTTTCACTGTTCTGGTTTAAGTTAAAACTGTAAAAGAGAAATGCCTCGGCTGCAAGTCGTCTGACCATGGAGGTGATTACGGTTACACAATAAGCAGTGTGGCTGGAGACACAGCATTTTACCTATGTGTGCTTAGGAAGATAGACACAAGATGAATCCGGAGAAAATGGTATGAGTTGCAAAGGAAATCTCGTCTGAAAGAAATTAGTTTCATTTTGTGCCGGGACACTCTTGAGTAAAAGAGAATGAACGAGCAGCGCCACCGTAGGTACGGGAGAAGCAATATGGACAGACCCGACAGTTGCAATGCTCTCAGTGAGGAGGGACGAGAAGATGATTTAGGAGACGGCGTTGAATCGCAACACACACAATACTACAAGAACTACAAGAACAAGAGGGATAAAAGAAGCAAAAAGAACAAGACAAACAAGAGGGATAAAAGAAGCAAAAAGAACAAGAAAAACAAGACGAATAAGAGAAGCGAAAAGAACAAGACGAACAAGAGGTATAAGAGAAGCGAAAAGAACAAGACGAACAAGAGAAATAAGAGAAGCAAAAAGAACAAGACAAACAAGAGGAATAAGAGAAGCAAAAAGAACAAGGCGAACAAGAGAAATAAGAGAAGCAAAAAGAACAAAAATTCACACACGTTAGTATCAGGCGATTTGACACAGAGAAAACATTGCTGATATATTTCTGTGTGTGTGTGTGTATGTTTATGTGTGTGTGTGTGCATGTTGGAGAAATGGTTGTGACGGGGAGGCGTGTGGGTTTTATGGGCTTCTAACTTCTAGCGCGTGAGCTGCAAGTTCTAGCGCATATGTTATATACGTACATACCCATGCAAACATACAGCCCGACAGACACACAGACATATACAATACATACATACATACACGCATAGCTGCAAGCCTAGATAAAGCAGGGCTCTCACAAAGTCGTGTGCCATTTCTGGTCAACTGTCATGTTATGTATTTACTAGCTGGCACTCAAGAGAAACTCCTACCTTGACAAAACTTTCTTTAGCCAACTCTCCCACAGCTATAATCTGTTTCTGGCCGCTGTTGAAGATCCTGACCAGAGACGGGTCTTGCTGTTTGTTGAACTTGTTGTAGGCGTCACTGGTTAAGTCGTGCACTTGGTTCATGTTTTCTACCGCCTCCAAGGAAAGGATCGCCAGTGATGGCTTGCCATTTTCATCGATTGCCCACTTGAAATTTGACCCTTTCTGAGTCTGACCACTGACGTGCAATGGTAGGTAACGCGGCCGCGGATCCTCCAGTGGTAGAGAATGTCTGGTCACAAAATCAAACGCTGGGTGGCGTCTGATCAAATCTGTCTAGACGACCCCTCCTTCTGTTACCGTCAGGGGAGTCCGGCCAACTGGGCAACATGGATCTGCCGGACATTGGTGGAGTATATGATGGTGGTGGAGATTCCTGGCCACTGACGTACGATGAAGCTTCTCCCACCCACCCTGAAAACTCGCCATACGACGGCTCATAGTCGTATTTGTTGGAGCCAGCTCTTGAGTTGGCCTCCCAGCAGGGACTTTTTACTGGGGCTTTGACGGAGGGCGGTCTTCGGTAGCTCCCTAGAGATGGAGTATCCCACGAGTTGCTGCCTTGTGAGTGTGCCATTGGGCCCTCATAATACCTGTCAAATCGGCCATGCTTAGGTGTTCCGATTATCGGCGTTGACTGCATTGGGTATGAAAAATCAGGAAAAAAAACATCGTCATCTCCATCGCAGCCACATCCAGGAGATGGAACTAATGATGTATATGCCCGGTTCTGTCCCACCGTGCCATAGGGCGATTGTTGGTAGCGCATCACTCCTCGCAATATTGTACCGTAGCTCGGGCTGCTGGGTGGCATCCGTCCATTGATTCTGAAATCATCTTCGCTGGAAGATCGTTGACCTTGAGAACTCATTGTCGTGGAGACGTCTATTTTTTTCAAAAAAAATACGATGTAATTGTGCGGCACTTAAAGAGTCGGATGTCGTGGAGAATGTTAAGGCAACTGCTTTAAGTTGAGAGTCTGCTGGGTACAGTTACATTGAAGTGAACAACTGCTGGGCAACTGCGAGTTGGACAAGGCCGCGTCCAGCCTTCTGATGTCCTCTGTCGGATGTGAGGAGAGACGTTGTCAAGTTGGCGCATTCTCTCAGGTGCAGTGCTCTAGTGTGCGAATTTTCATGATTTTCAAATTTGGTCTACATTTGCACACATATTCCTGCTCTAGGTGTCTCTTGTCTCTTTTAAAAATAAGTCATACTCACCATCTACTGTTAAAACACTGATTGCCTTAAAAGAATCAGCTTAGAAAATGGGACTAGTTATCAATCAAGATCAAACAGAATGCAAGAACATAACTAGACAGAAAAAGAATATAAACTCAGGTCATATACAAATCGAAAATATTAAAATCAAACGAACGGAAACATCTAAGTTTATTTATTTGTCTTCTTCACTTTTACCGGGTTGTAGCCCAGTGTCGTGGTTTAAAATATTTGTTTTGTGCCTCTCGCGTGATTTGAGTGACAGTTTTCTGGATCTTCTGGCCGTATTCAGCTACTCCATCTATCCATTTTACCTGGGTCTTCCTCTGGCCTTTCTTCCCGAATTTCTACTGAAAAAGGCCTTATAAGCAATCTGATCTGGTTGCATTCTTACTAAATGGCCAAACCACTTCATTCTCTGTCTTTCAATATTTTTCATGCATGCTCTTGTTCCAACTTTGTCTCTAATGCTGACGTTTGTGACTCTGTCTCTTCGTGTATTGTTGGTGACTCTTCGGAGACATCGCATTTCACACGTAGTTATTTTTTGCATATGTGATTTGTTCATTGTCCACGTTTGGCACTGATAACGTAACGTAGGGATGAAAATGCTGTTGATCATCCGTTGTTTGGCTAGTAACGAGATCTTTGGATGACGAAGAAGTGGGGCCAGTTGGTAGTTGACTGCATTGGCTTTTTGAACTCTAGCCTGTATATCTTTATCGAGTCTTCCATCTTCTGTAAATATGCATCTTAAGTACTTGAATTCTTGAACTTGTTCTAATTGTATGTCATTGATCTTTATGTTTACATTACTGTGTTTCTTTCCTATGGTCATTACTTCAGTTTTTGAGGTGTTTATTTTCATGTCAAATTTTGTACAGTTAGTGAGCAGTGAATCAACATGTTGTTGTAGGTTTTGTTCTTCTTCTTGTAACAAACATTGGTCATCTGCAAAGAGTAGTTCATTTATAATATCTGTGTTTTGGTTTGACTCCTGTGCAATTTTATCCATATATGTGATGAAGAGTACGGGTGATAGGACACATCCTTGTCGTACTCCTGATGTAATGGGAAACCAGTCTGTCATACCTTCCGTTGTTCGTACAGCAATCTGGCTAAAACATCTAAGTACTTGGGTAAAATCTTCAACTGCTCCAACGTACTGGAAGAGGAAATACACTCTAGAATACAATCTGGAAACACAGTATACTATGCTCTTCAACATCTGCTAAAGTCAAAGTGTCTGTCTCGCAACACCAAGATCAAAATATATCAAACGTTGACTAGTCGTATTATCATCATCATTATTATGAGCAGGTGCTTGCCGACTGGCTTTGGCGATCATCAGCAGGTGCCTTGCTGTCATGGGCGATCATGCCTCACCATAATCTGCTATCTCCTGCAGCATGTGTCAGCTCGTGTGCCGACTCACCTCCCATGCAAAAAGACTGTCAAGCATCTTCTCTCGTTTTCTTCCTCTATCCCTCCTCCCACAGATCTTTCCAGTGGTCAAAACATGTTCTATTTTCCCTCTTCTCACAGCATGGCCAAAAAACGATGACTGTCTCCTTCTGATGTCTGTGATAAGTTGTCTTTGGGCTGCCGCCTCTTTCAAAACCTCTTAGTTGCTATTTTTAGCTGTCCAAGGTGTCCTAAGCATTCTTTTGTAAAACCACATCTCTAATCCTACCGCTCCATAATCTACAATATCGTGCAGCATGTATCAGTTCGTGTGCCGACACACCTCCATGCCATGCAACAAGACTGTCAAGCATCTTCTCTCGTTGTCTTTCTCGATCCCTCCTTCTACAGATCTTTCCAATGGTTACAACAGTTTCTTTTTTTCCCTATTCTCATAATTTGGCCGAAAAATGGTGACTCTCTCCTTTTGAAGGCTGTGATAAGTTGCTTTCGGGCTCCCGCCTCTTTCAAAACCTTTTGGTTGCTATTTTTGGCAGCCATGTGTTAAAACTGTATCTATGTAACAAGCAATCATTCTTTTTTTAACTCTCAATGACAAGGATATATTGCACAAGATGTTCTTTATTCTATAAAATGCAGCTGTTGCCTGTCCTATTCTGTTTCTTATCTTAATTATGCATCTTCCATCTGATGTTATCCATGTGCCTAGACACTTAAATTTCTGTACTTGTCCCAAAATACCACCATCGACTTTTATTATACATTTATGAAAATTCGTTTCTTTGATACCACCATTACTTCTGTCTTCCCATTATTTAAACTGAGGCCAATACTTCCTCTTCCAAACACTACATTGTCTACCATTTCCTGTAGTTCTTTCTCACTTGTTGCTATTAAGACCGTGTCATCAGCATGCCGTAAATTGTTTATATAGTGCCCACCAACCACAATTTCGGGCATATCAAATCCAGTTCTCATTATATATTCACTGTATATTAAAAACAAATCAGGTGACAGTACACATCCTTGTCGCACGTTCCTCTTTATGCTTTGAAATGTACCTAAACAAATGTTGATTCTTATGGCTCCTGTTTGCTGCCAGTCATCATTGGCACCTTTCCGTCTTTCCAAACGATAGTGTTATATTGTGCTATGAGGAGGTATGGGACTCACAGCCCATGGCGATGGCGAGTGTGACTAGCAAGACCCGCCCGTGTCAAGAAAAGTCTTCCACAATGATAGCATGGGATTTCAGGACCATTGTTGTCACATTTGTGTTTAATCCGTTTCTTTTTAGACGCTCAGCTCTCATCCTTTTGGCAATCATTTCTTCCTTCAGTCTCATTCCCTTCCTGATATGCACTTTCCACACAACGCGGTCCATGGCATTTTGTTCCACTGAGACCGCCTCAGTACCTGTATCATTCATGTCCCGCTTGCACACATCTTGTTTAACGTAGTAGAGGTGGGCCTCAACATCTTCTTCCTGTCTTTAATTCACCATCAAGGATGTCCTTAAGGACTCTGCCATCCCCCATTCTCCAGGTGTGACCCAGCCACCTGAGCTTTCGTGGACTGAGCATGGAAAAGACTGTTGTAGTACCTACTCTTTTCAGTACCTCAGTGTTTGTGATTTTGTCCTGCCACTTAATGCCAAGTATTCTTTTTAGGCATGGCATGTGAAAGTTATTATTGCTGCCAATACATATTCTTTATTATTCGTAGATCTTTTCCGTCAATGTTTAATTTTTCTAACAGATTGATTACTTCTTCATGCTTCACACAGTCAAATACCTTTTGTATAGTCTATGAAGCAAATGTACAAATCAGTCTTTACATCTATAGCTCTTTCTGACAATGTCCTTAGGATGTATATGACATTGTTTGTACCTTTTCTTTTTACAAATCCACATTGTTCATCCCTGATGTATGGTTTAATTGTGTTTCTATTTCTTTTCATAATTATTATCAGTAAAATCTTAGTCATGTGACTCATAAGACTTAATGTACGATGGTCTTCACATTTTGAAGTGCCTGTTTTTTTTTAAAATAAAAATTGATTTTAAAAGGTCATTTAGAATATACCCACTATAAATATCATTTAAACGTTTAGTTATTATTTCAATTCCAAAATCTGCCAGTGCTTCGATTTCTTCCAGTGAGATGTTGTCTGGCCCGGGTGCTTTTCCTTTCTTCATATGGTGTATTGCATCCTCAACTTCTGCAGTCATTATTGGTGGACCATCATTGTTGGTCTGCAGTTCTACATCTGGTCTATTATCATCATACAATTCCCCTAAGAGATAAGATCAGGAATGAGATCATAAGAGAACAAGTCAGCACAGAACCAATTCTGGATTACATACAAAGACAGCAAGTGAAATGGTTTGCCCACTTAGAGAGAATGCCTTGTGACACCATACCATACAAAGCATACATGGAAAGAGAAGAAGGACGTAGAGCACGGGGTAGACCAAGAACAATATGGAAGGATAACATCAGAGAAACTCTACAACAGCACGATGTGCCTATGGTCGAGGCAGCCAGAAGAGCTAGAAACAGAACCTTATATCTCCCTCGACACCCACAGCGGTAAAAGAGGAAGTGAAGAAGAAGAAGAATTCCCCTATATACTCCCATAGGAATTGATGTTATCAGTCTCTACACGCTGGTTGATATGCTGCAGATGGAATCCGAGCGCTTATGGACTTATCTAATTTGCAACGAGGATTATCTGTCGATAAACTGACTGATTGGCTGACCGATTGATTGGCTGACTGACTTACTAAAACAGACACCGATTCCAATCAAATAAACAGTCATCTAATAGTTGACTAAGTAAAGAGAACAGTTGTTGAAAGCATCAGATTGCAAGCGTGTCATAAGCCTTTCACTCTGAGAGGGTCAACTCCTGCATTAACCTCCCGTGCGCTGCATCATCACAACTTTATTTTATGTATGCGGGATAGGCTATTGACATCATCATGAAACATGGCTGCAATTTGAGGTGTTTTCAAAAAAAAATCTATACGCTAGTATCAGTTACTGTATATTCCATTTTTGAAGTATACGAAACAGAAAAATCAAACAAAGATAACAGAAATTCGCAGCTTTAAGAAAACAGTAGCACCTGTGCAACTGTAAAGTATAAAATCATATTTGCATGGGAAGATTGGGTTAGACTGAAAATCTGTGTTGACCCGCGCAAGGCTTTTCAAGATATTTG